TATATATATATATATATATATATATATATATATATATATATATATATATATATATATATATATATATATATATATATATATATATATATATATATATATATAATTTATTAGGATCCAAGAGTGGATAAATCCTTTTCTTTTAAGTATCATCATGGTGAGAATAGTTCGCAGACAAATAACTATTCTTGTCTAGGATTGGCCATGGTAGTGATCTGTATAATTGGCTTGTAAATTGCTAATCTATTGATGAGTGACTATAAAATCCTAAAGTACTCGGGATATGCAGGAAATGATAGAGGGACGATTTTGTAGAAGCAGAAATAGCAACCCTCTGCCAGTACATAACAGATTAACAGGCACTATCCATAAATTTGCCAGTGTAGCATATAGCTGTAACTCTGACCACAAGCTGCTCTTGGCCATAAAACTGAAGTCAGTTGTGTTGGTGCCTTCCTGGAAAAGAGACATGTCTGAGGCATACTCTTTGATACCTTTCTGATTATAATTCATGCATACTGAGGGGCCTGTGGTTTCTTCCTCTCTGAAATCTGTGCTATATATCAGGATAGGATAGTCAGCTGGCTCGGTGCACATCACCAGTCATCTTTTGCATCATCTACTCATCTTTAACAAATTATGCTTTATGATTCAGGAAATGCCTCTTTTATTCTCTCTCTCTCTCCCTCTCTCCCCCTCTGTGTGTGTGTGTGTGACCTCTGTTGGTTTCTGTCAACATCTTGTGTGATTCTTACACCCTGGTAAGAAATCAGATGCTAACTCTAGGTTGTCTTTTCCTGTGCAGGCAAGTCTGCAGCTATTCATTATGGATCAGGAGCGATTTCTGGTTTTTTTAGCCAAGATCATGTCACTATTGGTGACCTAGTTGTTAAATACCAGGTTTTTAATTTTGAGTGGCTTAATATATTTAAAGCCTCAGTTTTTAGTTAATAATTTTTATTGATAATGTTCTTGTATTAATAAGGGATATTGGTTCAGGACTTTATTGAAGCTACCAGAGAACCAAGTGTCACATTCGTGGTGGCGAAATTTGATGGCATACTTGGACTTGGGTTTAAGGAGATATCTGTTGGCAATGCTGTACCTGTGTGGTAATCTGGCTATTACCTTTATTTTTTATATATATCTAAATAATATATTATTCAATGTTATTTGTACAGCTTATTGATTTTTCATATTCTTTGTTTTTTGCATGTTGAAGTTTCTTTTTATTCTAAATTGGAAAGCAATAGGTAGTTAGGATAATTCAAATCGAAGCAATTTGATGTCTGACATGGGTCTATATGACTTGATTGATTGAAAAAAAAACTCCTAACACTTCTTTTGTCATATATTCTATATATCACATTAGATAGATGTCATGATGTAAAGAAAATGGGTGAAGAACGATATGCCACCAAATATATTTCTAAATGTCTAACTAGACTTTCCTTTTTTGTCTTAATGTTCTAATAGATCATCTACTCTTTTTGTTCTACAAACTGCACAGAAATGAAAAGCATGATATGTTGTGCAATTTATAGAACAAAAAGAATAGGTGGTCTATTAGAACATCAAAGCAAAAATGGAAAGTCTATTTAGACATTTAGAGCTATATTTGGTGGCATGTCATTCTTATCTATCTTCTTTACCATGATATATATCTAATGTGATATATAGAATATATGATAAAGGTATAGTGTTAGTTCTTTACTATGACATCTATCTAATGTGATATATAGAATATATGATAAAGGTACAGTGTTAGTTCAGTTCCCCTGATGTGTTGATTTGTGTTACCTTCTTCTTTAGGAAGTCATAGCAAGTTCTATTCTTTGTTTTCAGGAATTGACTGATAACTTTAGATGACAAAACATATACTATTGTTGTTCATAAACTTTTTTAGAAATGGACATATGTATGCATTCTTCAAATTAGTCTTTCCCACCTGTTGTTGTAGCTTGCTCTCAATTAAACGTAGCTTCCAATGCGATTTCTGTTTTTTTCCTCCAGCAGAGAACATTGTGGCAAAATGCTAAGTTGTATAATAAGGCCGCTGCCTAACTGCTGTAGTGGCAATCATTGATTTTGGAACCTGGAGTCTAATGGCTATCATCAATATCTTTGTGCCCCAAAGATAAATAATACATTTTGACTAAGTGAATTATAAGTGAATCGGTTTTACTCATGGCATCTTGTCACTTCTTATCCATGGTACCGGACTGGTCACTGATCACTGTTTAGACCATTATGTACAGCCCCAGTGTTTGTATAGACAAAGAGGAGGAAGAAAAAGAGGAAGGAAGAGATGTCAGTGCAGGAAGAGGATGAAGAATAAAGAGGAAGAGGAAGTGATGGAGGAATAGGAGGAGGAAGAGGAGCGATGGAGGAACAGGAGGAAGAGGAAGAGCAAGCAAGAGGAGAATGAGGAAGAAGAAGAGGAGATGTCCAAAAAGGGGGAGGAAGCGTACTTGTGGTCAGGCGACGCAGTGGGCGACTGGGAGGCATTGCCTTGGGGTTCTACAAGTATGAAGAAGAGGACGACAGTAGGGCTATGCTCGTATGGAGAGGAGAATGTGATCCCTAATCCTTGGTTTTAAGACTTTTTTTCTTTTCCTTGTTTAATACCAGACTAGACTGTGGAGATGGGCGCAGACTAGACCATCGAAATGGGGGCAGCCCATCTCTTCATATGTTTGGGCTGGAACTGGTATATCTCGGGTACTGAATTGGGCGACTGTACTGCGGTCTGTGTTGGAAGGAATGGATAATGCATGTGCACTAAGTTCTCTTCGCATGGAGCCATAATGTGCTTTGCTGTTGGATCATAGGTGCTTCCTCCCCATGTTAAAATTATAGAGAGTGGTTGCAGGTTTCTTGTATTAATTGTCAGATATATATTTGAATAATATTAATTGTTAATGTAACTGAAAGTAGGTCTTAATTGGCTAGAATCAACTAATTAATTATATGCACAGGTATAATATGATCAAGCAAGGTCTTGTTAAGGAACCTGTTTTTTCTTTCTGGTTTAACCGAAATGCTGATGAAGGTGAGGGAGGTGAGATCGTTTTTGGTGGGGTTGATCCAAATCATTATAAAGGTGAACACATATATGTTCCTGTAACTCAGAAGGGTTATTGGCAGGTTCTTCTCTGGACCCCATTTGCATTTGTGATGTCATTTATGCACATAGCCTGCCAAGTTGGTGAACCTTACCAATTCCTGCCCTTTCTTTAACAGTTTGACATGGGCGATGTACATATTGATGGCCAGTCTACTGGTATAGCACTTGGATTCATCTACTTCTGTATTATCGTGATCTTATTCCTTATCTGATTTTTATTGTATGTTTATCAGGATTCTGTGCTGGTGGTTGTGCTGCAATTGCAGATTCAGGAACTTCTCTAATTGCTGGTCCAATGGTATGTACAATATTTGGCAGTTTTTCGATTAGGAAGATCCATCTTCTTTTATTTATTTATTTATTTATTTATATTTGAAGATATTTTTTTGTGCCAACAATTGCTATATTAGTTGCTCCTGATAGATATATGCATAAATAATTGAATGTTACATGGTTGCAATCATGGATTCAAATATCGATCCACTACCAATACCAGTTAGCAGTTGGATCCATATGGTATTGATATGGTACCAGTACTACCAACACCTCAGCATGGGTCATCGTCCAGATAAGAGAGAGAATAAGGGAAGTAATGAGAGCGAAGGAGAAGTAGAGAGCGAGCCTGAGGGAAGGAGAGACAGAAAAGAGAAAAAAAAGAAAAAAATTGCAAACAATTGTGACAGTTATAGAGAATGAGAAAAATATATCAATATCAAATGATAAACTTATTGTCTACAGTATGGTACCAGTCTGGCTTACCAGATGGTGCAGTCCATCTTGAAACGAACCGCACAAAAATGCCATGTCTGCATCCTGGTTGAGCCAGTTTCTAATTCATGATTGCAGTGTCCTCAAGTCACATTGTTACAATATTCTGTTAGTGGAGTTTTTTCTTTTAAAAGGTGGGGGAGGGCATGATTTAGCCCATTTAGGTTATTAATTCGTTTGTATCTGTTTCGTATTATGTTTCACCTTTTTTATTCAACTTATGTATCATATCTATTGTGCTGATGCAATTCTGCATTGGTAGAAAGTCGTGATTAAATTGCTGGTTGAATATCCACTGTAAACTTAGGTTTTCTACTAAGCTAGTTCATTTTCTTCTTTAAGATTGAATGCAGCCTGTTAGTTGTCTTGGTAACATATATCCTACTCAAAGATATTTTCATGTCAAAGACGACGTCATTGTTAGTGATTGTCCACTTGAATATCTTAGTTGCAGTTCTACTGGGTATTTGTGAATGATCAAAGTCTTTTCAGTGTTCACACTCAAAAGCATTTGCTGTTTTCTATTTTCTTTCTTTTTTTATTTGGGAAGATTCTTTGGAACCTTTTATTTCTGGAACTTAAGAAAAGTGGGTCAGTATAGGAAAATTGTTGATACCATTGTTTTAACATGAAGACTAATTGAACCTGACAAGGGATGCAATTTGATTGAATTTAGAATAAGGTAGAAATCTATTTTGCCCATAAAAAAAGAAAAAAACAATAAATCGATTACTAATATGTGGGTGCAAGATTGTTTATGACTGTGGAATTAATACTTGTAGTATTTGTTGATTCATTTTCCATGATTGCTTTTTTTTCTTAAACAAAGAAGCACCTGATCAAAGGTTGGTCTGTTCAGAACCTATTTTGTTTGCAAGTCAGGATGCTTTGTGGTACTACATTTTATTCTATGAAAATCAGAAATATTACAATGCAAATTTTTATATATAATCTAGTGGTACTACACATGGAGTAGGTTGCTTAAATCCTTGAATTTCTATTCATAATATACATATCTATCTAACTCTGCTTGCTATGTATATAACAAGATGAATTTGTAAATTGTTGTATCAAGACAGTCCATGGTTGGGTTTATGTGGAAGCTGATAGTGGAGCAGTGAACTACTAGCTGATAGTGGGTTTATGTTGATATTAGTCTTTAGTTTCCCAGTGTACTCTAAATTGCCAAATGAATTACATTTATTAGGCACATTTAAAGTGGTTATGGTCTTAACTACAGTGCATATGCGTAGTATCATTAACTGTGGTACTGCTTTTCCCTAGACCACCAACCAATGACTAATATCTCCTGAGATTTCTGCAGACAGTTATTGCAGAAATTAATCAGAAAATTGGGGCTTCTGGTGTTGTTAGCCAAGAGTGCAAAGCAGTAGTAGCTCAATATGGGGAACAAATTTTGGACATGTTGCTGTCAGAGGTTTGCACCAATGTTTTCATGCATATGATGATTTTAGATGATCTTGCTGACTACCTGATGCCGTATACTGTTTGTTGGCCATGTATCATTTTGCAGACTGAACCATCGAAGGTTTGCTCTCGGATTGGTCTGTGCACCTTTGATGGAACTCATGGAGTTAGGTTGATAGTTTATCACTGAGAAAAGTTGTCTACTTTGGGTTTAGAAATGCAAGTTCCATTACTCACATATAAGCTTTGCTTTTGCTTTGATGTGTTTGCAGTATTGGCATTGAGAGCGTGGTGAATGAGAATGCTGATGTATCATCTGGTCTCCAGAGTGATGCTATCTGCAGTGTCTGTGAGATGGCAGTTGTATGGATGCAAAATCAACTGAGACAGAATCAGACACAAGAACGTGTACTAAACTACATAAATGAGGTGAAGTCATTTTGAATCATGTGATGCATTAAAGACTGCAGTGTACATGTTAGATCGTGTTTTGATTTCCATTGCAGCTATGTGAACGGCTGCCTAGTCCCATGGGAGAATCATCCGTAGACTGTGCTGCTATTTCATCCATGCCTGGAGTCTCGTTCACCATTGGAAATAAAACATTTGAGCTTACAGCAGAGCAGGTATAATATTTCTCATCGGTATCACTACACTTAATATTTACTATTGATGAGTTGAAATTTTCTGTAAACTGCTTAGTGCCATGGCAAAGTTGCTTTTTTTGCAATCTTTGTAACTAAGGTTTGAGTGGCACAAATATTCTTAATCCTTGTGGGGCTAGGGTTGTTTATATTGACATCAGATCTCGTATTAACGGGAATGTTGTGCAATAGCCCCCCTAACTAGTGGCCTGATTGCTTCATGTTAAGGTTTCCAATTTTTTGTTCTATAAATTATTCGTCTTTTGGTAAATATAATTAGGCATACCTAAACCAATTATGAGAATAATGCAATCTTTAGATAAGAATATTGTTTTTCCCATGAATATCATGATGTAGGAGCGTGGGTTGCGTTGGTATGCATGCCAGTCAGGGTAATTTGGTTTGCTTGTGAACCATGAAAGATTGGTCGCTGTGCAACTTTTGTGGCATAGTAAATCCTTCTTTATGGTAATGTTGTGAAATATGTAGGGAAGCAAAAAAGTGTCTGTTTACCTCTTTGTGACAAGCTTTACAAAAATAAGGAGTATAGAAGCTCATCTGTGAACAGACATCAATGAAGTGAGCATGCTGACTTCTGTGAACAGTCAAGGCTGTTGAGTATGGAAGCTCATCTATCAGGCTGCATTGCTTTGATGTATGACTAATAATTGTTGCCATTGATATTCATATATGAAGTCTTATTTATTTTAAATTTTAGTCGAATAAAAACAATATTTGTTTGCTGAACTACTCGGCCAGGAGTGTAAATATAGATTTCCAGACAAGTAATCTGCACTTGAAGAGCTTAATGTTGCATGAACGGATATTATTTTGCAACTCATGCATCCTTTCTTCCTTATAAGCAATCATACCTCAGAAAATCTTGTCAATTCTGCATTAGTACCTCATCACCATCAATCGAGCAATTTAATTTTTAATTTCTTGATGCCAGAGTCAGAAACAGTAAGTTTTGAGCTGGCAATCTGGATATCGAGATTGTCAAAGGTTATTGCACTAGTGAACGTCAGTGACCTTCAAGGGACACTAGCTGGCATGGTTAAGCAACCTAATACAACATGAATAACAACGGGTTTAAAATGGCACTTTGTGCTTTTGGAGTAGGGGACAAAATCCCAGCAAAGTTAATGGCATTAACTTGTGGTCTCATAACTTAGTGGCCTGCTAGAAAATCTTCTCATTTGACTGAAGTATGAAAGACCATCACGTTCTCTATGGGTGAGAATGAAGATACTTATTGGTTCAATGGAGATCTTAAAATTTGCTGGATGTCCTTGGATTTCTTTTTGGTTGGGATTATAATCAACTGTGGGAATATTACTGTAGGAACATGTTGTGGCCTTATCTTGATCCAGGTCTAAGGATTGACTTAATTTGGAAAGTTATTAAGTAATTGTAATCCAAGTTTTAATTCTTCATCAAAAGACCAATCTAGTTCCTTGTGGTTGAGGATTAGCCTCTCATGGGTATGTTTATACTTAAATATGTGCACGGACCGGAAGTTGCACTACGTTTGGTGTTGAAGGTCCTTTGATAACCTTAACACAAAGTGGGATTAAAAATAGGCTTATTCCAAATTGGAATTGGGCTTTTTTCACAGGGCTACCGAAGATCTTCTCTTGGAATGATGTTTCTAAACGGGATAGTATTTTCTCTGTCTGTTGTCAAGGAGCCTAGAATCTCCTGTACTGAATCATGACACTTGCCTCTTATCTCTGTTTTCTTATTTGCAATTTTGTTAAGCCAGTGTAAAAATGAAATGACTTGAATAAGATTTGTGGAGGTTTCCTTATTTCATCGGAATGTTTCTATAAAAGTTTCAATCATGTTAATCCGCCCTGTTTAATCTCGCAATAACCTCGGCCTGTTGGGTTTGCAGTATATTCTAAAGGTTGGTGAGGGTGCTGCAGCACAGTGCATTAGTGGGTTCATAGCCCTGGACGTGCCACCACCACGTGGTCCTATTTGGTGCGTCCTGCTTTGATTACCATATTTGTCAAAAATATCCATCTTTCATGGTTCTCTGACTTGCAAATGGTGCTTGGAACTGCAGGATTCTGGGAGATGTCTTCATGGGAGTTTATCACACTGTATTTGACTATGGCAACTTGAGAGTTGGGTTTGCAGAAGCAGCTTAGTAAACAGACGCGTTTATGTTGTTGACATAAAGAAACTCTGGTTTTACAAGAAAAAGGAACTTTGGTTTTATCGTACGAAGGCAGAGACAGTCCATGTATATGGACCGGGTTAAGATGTAATGCATGGCTAAAAATGGGCGTTGGGTGCTTGTGTTGGGTTTGTTGATGTTTTTAGTGCGCATATGTGGCTCGTTTAAGTGTTGATTGTGTTTGCTGTCTTTTCTCTTCGCTTATGCAGCTTTGACCTGACAATCTTGGAATATGTGATCTGACGGAGTCAATTTGAGTTGGTATTGAGTTAACTATGCCAATTTATCGAGAAAGTCAATGGACTTGAACCAAGTCACAATCAATAGACTTGTCAGTGGCCTAAACTAGGCTTAGGAGGTGGTATCTCAACGGCAGTGGTAGTACCGTTTGAGCCAACCAAAAAGTATTGTTTATTTTTTTTTAATATTTTTTATAGTGATACTATATATATCGATAATAATACTATTTATGTTAGTGGTAGTATTGCTAAAGTCACCTGATAGTTTTATCACTTAGTGCAAGTGGTAGTACTGCTTGTACTATGAAAGTTTAGGGATTTAAATTTTTGATTCTAATTTTAAAGCGTTTTGATGTCTATAAATATTCTGCTTGGTTGATGGAGCATTTATTTCTAGGAAAAAAAGTATTGAAAACTCTTATTTTGAGCATAATTTGAGTCTCTTTCTTCTCTTGAGTTTGATTATAATTTTAAGTTGTAGGAGATGAGAGATTTTACGTAAAAAGAGAATATAAAAGTTATTTCCTCAACATGAAAATAGAGAAACCTATAACAAGGGAATTGATCTTTGCCCATTAAAAAGAAGATCAATAGTGAAAATCGATGATCTCGAGGAATCAGGAGTGGACGTAGATTAGAAATATCGAACCATTATAAATCGATTTGCCTCTCTTTACTTGCACTTATGATTTAGTTTTATTCTCTTTACTTACAACTTTAACTTGATCAATCAAGTTTTTGAAACATGTTAATTTATCGATCGAGTTTTAAAATTAATTAAAAATATTATTACATTAATTCATCCTCTCTCTTAGTGTCATTAAGATTCTAAAAATGAATTGTCCTAGAGCTGTGCTTTGTTTAGGTGTGACCCGAGAGTGGGTGGACAAAGGTCAATTGCCAAAGAAGCGAACACAATCGGAGGCGACGGAGGCCCTACGATGAGTTGACAGAGGCTACACTTAGAGAGATCACAGTCCGAGTTCATCTCACAAAAATCAAAATACAATGGAGATGTCTTCAGGAGGTGACATGGTGTAGTGGATCATAGTGAAATAATTCGAGGTAATGCAACACATACAGGAGAGGTCCCACGACGGACTTAATTATATGGATGTATGATCAGGAGCTACTAGGAACTCCACTTCGGTGAACAACACGATGACAAGAAAGACTACAAATTCAAACTATAAATGTCATGGTACCATAGAGGCAAGTCTTTCGTGTGTGCATTGAATTTTGCATCGGATGAAAACCTTAGTCATCAACATACAAGAGTTATATAACATCGAGGGGAAATTCTAAGTGTAAGTACTAGTAGTCTCGGGGGGTGGGGGGGTTTGATCATATAGATGTATAGTTAGAGCGATTGAAGAGTTATACTACTCTAGAGCTCATATTCACTTAAGGGAGCTCGACAAGTCAAAAGACAACGTCGAGTAAGCAAACATTGTCATCAAGAAAACAAAGGAAAATAGAATTAGTGCGAGCCTTTCAATATAATGACGGAGGCCATGCTTGATAGTTGAAGTCTGTCTTCTCATCGACTAAGAGGAACTATTCAAAGAACATAAAGGTGTTGAAGTAGGTAGTCAAAAAGGGCAAGGAAGTGATAATGAGTCCAAAGGGACTCGGCTACCTAAAATCAAGCATTTGTTAAAATGGAGGTAGACTCAAAGGAGTGTCATAGAGGTAGATATACTAATCGTGAAGAAATAAACGCAGATGCAAGGTTACAGATAATAGGGCCATGGGCATGGTAGCATCATGTATCGAAAAGGCGAAATTTCTATGGAGTTATCAATCCCTTACTCTCATGGAGAGAGAGAGAGCTTGGTCATGAATGGAATTAAGGAAGTGGAGAATGCAAAGGCAAAATCCAAACACTAAGATAAGGTTGTAGGGTAGAGGCTAGGGAACTTCGTAAGACTGGTGTCAATGAGCTTCTCATTGAAATAACCAAAAGTGAAGGATTTTGAATCGATGTAGGAGTGCTCGACCAAGGAACGAAATAGGCAATACACGGTATTATACATTTTCCACTCAAAGGAGTAGACAACAAAAATGATACAATCCCAGAGGTATCGAAAACTATTAGTCTAGACTTGTTCCAAATTAGGGCGAAATTTTATTCTTTTCGAGCAAAACTTCTTACTTTCCAGAAGTTTGATGGCAATAAGATGATAAATCGCAGTAGCTAACTCAATGCAAGGAGTACAAATACTTCGGGTGCTTCAGAAGTGTGAGTAAAGAGTAGGCGAATGCTAGTAACTAGCTTGATGCATAGAGTATAAATCTTGAAGAGACAGACGAAGTCAAGTAATCTTTGTCTTTTCAACTCTTAAAAGAATGGGTGAAATCGAGTACCCTAGTTCACTTATTTATCCAATAAAGAAGCTCTACATAGGTCCAAAGACCCTTTAAAAAAATTTAGTGGAGGCCAACAGTTGTCAAATCCTCACCAATGGTGATCGGTGCTATCGAGAGTAGACTATCCATTTTATTTTTCAACAGAATGCTAATCAAAAGCGAAAATAATATGAACCTACTTGGAGGTGACAACTAAGTAGAAGAGAAATCGATTGACAAATTTTACGAAAGAAAGATTCCAAAAACTTTAAGGTCTACGAGATAATACTCATTCAAGCTCTAATATGCATCCACTAAGTTTAAGCAGTATGTGACGTTTGAGAGACTAATGCATAATAAAGGTCTTTTTCTTTATCCGAGGGATCCATAGGAACCAACAAGAATCAGTATAACTGAGTCGACTCTATACCAACCAGAGTCAAGAGTCATTTGCGAGTTAAAGCAATGTGACAAATCAAAGTTCAACTAATCAATAATAGCGATAGAGTGCAGTTGGGAGCCAAGAGGCGCATTGCAATTGGGGTAAAAGATTAAAGATTCAGTAAAGGCAAGGAGATGTAGCGTCCACAAAGGCTTTGACAAGGGTGTTGAAGGAACAAGTGGGAGAGAATTCTATGGACAAAGCTACAAACAGGGTAATCGATGCAATACTCGTATATGTTTTTTATCTTTTAATTTTGTTCATAATTTGCACAACATGTAAAGGGCTTACAGTAGGTATGACAGTCCCATTTTGGTTGGCTTTTGTGATCGTTTCAAGTATATAAATGCAAGTTATATGAACTCATCACGCATAGGCAAAACTATATAGAAATAGGCTATCCAGATAACCATTTTAGGGATTTTCTAGTTTCACAGAGTTGTGTGGAGTGTCAATCAGCATAACATCCAAGAGCTACTTGGGTGACACATGACTAGATAGGCCTTTGGGGTAGTGTCTAACGCTGGTTCACTATTTTGTTCTGTGGTAGTGTCATATGAGCACTTGTGGAGACTTTTGGTCACGACGGACCATTTTAGATCTTTGTCGTGTGACCATTCAAAGCTTGCAAAGTCTATTTTTGTAATTTGTATTACTTATTAGATATTTACTAAAATAACAATTTATGAATCCCGAGTTAAATGTTTTATCTAACTTATCTTATCTTTTGTAGATTATCAAGGGACCATAAGAGATTTCGAGGAGGCTGACCCTTTGCGGACGGACACATAAGGGTATTGCATGACTTAGAAAAAATTAGTTAAGTCTGTGACAATAGGCTTGGTCAAACATCACAGTTCATCAAGCTTGGTCAAACATCACAGTTCAAAGTCAAACAAGAATCAACTTAGAGTTCGAAGTTGGTCTTAGGTGCCCCTCCATCGACTTGAATCATAGAGTCAACACTTCACACATGAATTTGCCTCGCTAAATCAAGTTGAACTCATATATAAAGAGGTTTGCGAGGATCTTCAATCGCTCTATATTAGCCTCAGGATGTTAGGTCAATGCAATGATTCTCCTCGAGAGGACGACGAGGAAGCCTATTCTACTATACCTATATTAACCATACAACATCCTTCATTTTCATTGTGGTCAAATTCGTCCATGAAGCATCCTCCATGGAATCGAATTTGATCATGAATCATCCTCTATCTCTAACATGATCAGATCCAATCACGAAGTATCTTATTTTGACACAATTAATTTTGGCCACGAACCATCCTCTCATTTTGCTACAATTAAATTCGATCACGTCCTTCATTTTTAACATAATAAAATTTGACTATGAAGCATCCTCCATCTTCTGAGTTACTGATGATAATAAAGCATCATCCATCTTCGAATTCAATCATAAAACATCTCCCTTCTTCTAATATAAATCCGACCTTGAAACATACGTAAGTCTGACCGAAGTGACAACAATAGCACCAACTGTGACTAAGTTGTCCACCAAACAAGATGTTGTCCACCGAACCATATCACATCCCATCGCCTCATCAACTTGACACATCGGGCTAAGACAATGCATCCATTGACGTCCACTCGATGCCACCTTTGACACCCAATTATTGCGACACATTTGACGTGGCTCTCTCACTTCATTAATGAGCCTACATGAGCTCGATGGTTTGATAGACGCTCCCACAATCCGATAGTGACATACGATTCAGTGTAACTGTCTTATAAATTAAGTCTTCATTTAACTCCGACGATTACTGAGTTCTTTATAAAAAGGTCTCAAGTGCACTCTACTCTTGAGTACCTAACACATTTTTGTTCTACAATCCTTCAACAATTTTACTAACTTAAACATCAAACCAAACTTTCTCAAGTACGACACCAACATAATTTTACGATATCCTCACCGAACCCTCTTATCTACCATTGCTAAACCTGCGACTTGCATAGAGAAAACTCAAAACTGCTAATCTGTTAGACAACATCTGCGACTCAGAGAGAGAGAGAGAGAGAGATTCCCAGCTCCCTTACCCTTCGAGAGGACTCCTATACATCTGCGATTCCAGTATACTAAATCATACTTCCTCATCTTCACTACCTCCGCTACGAACACACTTGGCTTGCTCTCATATAACTTTCTTTTCTTCGTCTCCTCTATGACGAACTGACATGGCTGGCTCTCATATTATTGGACAATCTCTAACTTAAGCTCATAGGGGAATTATCGAGTCACCTTTCTCTCCTAGTCTTCAATCACGAAACCACCCAATCGATTATGTCCATCATCACCACGTGGGTGCAAGGATCTGTATTTGATGAAATCAATCCCCCTCGGTGTGACACTAAAACTTTCATCGAGTCGCAAGGCATACATACCGAATGTCCACATCTCGGCGAAGCATCGAACTGCTTAATGGCTTCGCTGGTCCGCAGGACGGTTTTCCGGAAGAACAGTTCATCGGACAAGCAGGCATCTGAGTCACAAGGCATCTACAGGAGACCCCAAGTTCCAGCACAAGTGTTGCCTTTCCAACAGAAGCTACTATTCCAATGACTTCTGGAAGCTTGTGCTTTTGAGAACATCAAATATGATCGCCTTGACCCAGCTTGGGATCTAACTACAAAAGAACACAAGAAAAAGTCATGCCACATGTCTTGGCCAGCCAACTCAAGAAGAATGTGGCCATCTCAAGAATTCAGTTCTATCAAGTTAAAAAGGACTATCAATTCATCAAGAAATTGAAATGCAAGAATATGTCAACCACTGAGATACCACCATCACATACCTGCAAGCAGCCACATAATCCTGATGAAGCTTGTCAGTAGCAATTTACCATCTCCAACATGGGCGCAACAAATCAGAATGAACATATACATGGTGGTATGACAACATGAGAGAATGCACCAGGGTCCATGAAAAGAAAATGTGTACCGCAAAAATGAGGATAAGAAAAACATCTTTCAGAACATATTAAGTAGATATAGAGTTCAGATTACTTCCTTAAAAGCCGATCCCAGAAAAACAAAAGATCAACATTAAGGAAACATGACTATAGAATTTACTGATTGTAATGTATGCAACCTCGAATTTGGATAACTTTTCACATCTGATCCACAATATTTTGGATGGTGTCTTTCGATTGCACCTTTCTCGCCATGGAAATCTGCAAGCTGCATGAGGACCGGAAACCAAAGCCCTGTAGCTTTCAAAAGTCCTCTATATTCCACACCACTGATGATCCCTTTCTCTGAAACTGACCTGTTTGGAATTTGTTCATTGCTCTCCCCATCAAAGCTATCGCCCTGATGCTTGGGAACTGTTTCCCCTCAATATTATCAGGAAGAACTTTTCGATTTTCAGGCTCCCATAGCCCAGGTGTAACTACACTCACATGAGCTTTAACTGTTTGAGGGGTCTTATAACACCATCTTTTAATCCAGTATTGCACATCTCTTGCTGATACTCCATAGGAGCACTCAGAAGTACTTGGTATGTCTTTGGTCGTATCAGGTATCTGCTGTTCCTTGGGACATTTTGTCATCGCCGAGCTGGATGTGTCATAATTGTGTGCTTTACTTGAAAAGCTACATACTTCTGCATTAGTGGGGTGATTTCCAATTTTTGTTCTCTTAGAACCAAGGCCAAAAGCATCTGAAGATTTGTGTCTGAGGCGTTTGAGCCATCTTTTACATTGCTCCTTTTGTGCCAAGTTTTCAATTATACTACTAGTATTTGAAATCTTGGACCTCTGAACATGAGAAAAAACTTGATCTACATTCATGCTTTCAGTTCTAGATGTGCTCAGTCCTCCAGTACTTACGCTACCAGTTTTGTCTGAGGAATTAACATATCTGCTCAAAGTTTCCTGGATCGCTGAAGGTGATGGAGAGTGGGATTTTATTAGGTTCGTGCGTGGAAGGTCCTGCAGAACTTAATGTTAGTACAAATGTTTTATTTTGTCATCAAGCTACCTATACCCAAAAGTTGGTTTATCAATATATGCATATTAACATTAAGAGACCAATAAGCTTGCAGGATGGTTGAATATCCATGAAGATGCATATATACTACAAGATAAAAACAACCCAAACTTTATGAAGTTCAAAAATAAAGAATAAAATAATCATCGATTTACACACAAGCAGGCATCATATTTTCTTATGTGATGAAGCAATGTGTTCTAAGACTTTCACAAAGCCTTGGAACAAAGCCAAAGATGTGTAGTGCCAACTTCCAACAAAGTGATGCCATCAGCAACCTACATAGAATCCAGCTACAGGATACAACTTGGTCTCAAAACTTGAGTACATTCTCAAGAGATATAATGAAGTTAGAGAATGAAATCAGCAACCCAAGAAAACCAACCGCCCATTTCCTTTGATCACTGCTTGCAGCATCACGACTTAAATAACACACATCAACTCAAGGCTAGGATAAAGATCAATACTTTATATGATAACCAGCACATGTTTTTTCCTTTTGGTCAGTCTCTGTAATTTCCAGTTGAGACCTATTTTTAGCTCATCACCTCATCCAGTCCAACACAGAGTATGATGGACTTCATTATTTAAGTGTCATGTCTTCGTGTTCTTGAATTTTGGCAAGTAGTTAATTACTACAAAATTGCCTAATTTTTCTCCATGCAGAATGATCAGAGAATATGACTAGTAAATACCATTAACAGAAAAAGAGGGCTAAAAAATTATGGATCATCTAAATTTGAATGTCCAACATCCAAAGAATTAGCCATGATTTCAGGGAAAAATGATGATCTTAATGACTTTGTCTTCTCATATGAATCTTCCATTTACATAAGTAGGCTTACTACATGATGAGATTGTGGCTTTTACTGCAAAATAGCTAGAACATCTATGGCTAAATGATTTGATAGAACAACTTCCTGTCACTTCTTATAAATATTCTTCCTCCAGCCCACTCCACCTTGCTTTACTTTGTAGGTATCCTAAGCCCTGCCTTGATATCTTTCTTCTGAAACTCTGGGGAGGGAAGCAAAAGTATCTACCTTGGCTAATGCACTAGATCCTGATTCTTCTGGATGGTCCTATATCCAGCTTACTGATTTGATGCATGGGGTCTAAGATGGTAAATAAATCTGACTATCCCATGAAATCTAACTAATAATTGTCATCAAGAAAAGGATGGCTACCTTGTGAGAGATTGGCTCTAGATCTTCTCTGCTTAGTTTATGTTTTACTCGTTTCTATTCAGATCTCAATTGCATAATAATCTTTAATTACATTTGCATGAACCATGGGGCCTATGGTATTCTTATTCATGTCATGCTTATTAATCTTATCTGCATGATGTTCACACTTCTCTGGCGCCAGTTTCTGTATCATATTAGTCCAAATAGCATCATATTGAGAGCCTCATGTAACTTACATTCATCAATTTTCATTAAAAGAATTTTGATTGAAACTATTCAAATATACAACTAATCTCTAAGCTTCACCGACAAAAAAAAAGTCAGAAGATTCTGGTCATGAAAGTTTCAGTTTTTTATCAAATCCAATAGTGCATTCTTATTGTTCTACCAAAGGTAAAGATCTCAGAGCTTTCTGCAAGTTGATCTAAAAGAAAAAGGCAGTGCAATCAACTCACCATTCGTTAGTGGCTTCACTAAAGCTTCACATATAGCATAACAAGTCCCTTCTCTCTCTCTCTCTCTTCTTTTTTTTTAATCAACAGCCTTTTGTCAACAAAAGTCAAAGAATGTGTCTCAAGCAATCCTCGAAAACAGATTTTTATGCATCATGCTCCTAGTCTCACATGCAGAACATATAGTGTCCTCATGGTGCTTTAGTTTCAAGGAGGTTCCTCAACCATAAAAAAGACAAAAGACTCCAGCTGCTGCATAATGGCCACCTCAAGATAATCATTATTGATAGGAAGAAAGTAGTATTAAAATGAAAGATACCTATACTGATCTTCAAGGTACTGAGAACCCAAATAGTATGAAAAACCATATAAGAGAAAGTAAACAGCTCAAGAAAGCTAAGCTATCAACAGTTTCTAACACTGTGAGATAAGAAAAGCCAGACTTGCACGTGGGATATGTTCTGCCAAGTCAATCAACTCGGGTCTATCACATGATTGGAGTAACTTGCAACAAATACAATTGCACAGACTCTAGCATATGGTAACTAGCTTATCTTATGCAGTGCCCTTCACCATATTTAAAAATTTTAGAATGCAGATAACTGTACCTTTTGTAGTCTGTCAGAAATCGTGCCTGCAAAACACAGAAAAAATTGAAAATTTAGGGAGGACTATTCTACATATAATTCTTCTTGGAAGAAATATTCTACTACTTATAACACTTGATTAAATTGAAAATTTATCATTAAGTATTTACCTTTCGGAGAGTGTTTTTCCAGGCAAGCCTCAATGTGAATTGCATCAGTTTTAGCTGATGGTCTTTCCCTCTTTCCCATCATATGTATCTCAATTCCATTTACATCAACCCCATTTTCCATGCTATTTGAGTTAATTAAAGGCAGTGAATCTCCTTGCCACATTCCTTGGTTCCTTGCTGTTGCTGGTACTGTTAACATTTCAAACAAGGGAGTAACTTTTGCTTTTGCAGTTTCTGTCGAATCTTCTATCAATTGTTTTTCTCGCGACAACTCCATTGGCATATTCTTTGTTGTCAACTGATAATGAATAGCATTAAAAGGGTTCTCTGCATCTCCATCTATATTATTCACAGGATGAAGATAGTTATGTATATCCAAACTTGCAACATTATGAATGAAGCAGTTGGACATATAGTTTAATGGCTGATGAAGAACATCCTCAGTATCGTTTTCCCTAATTAGATATGAAAGAGGAGATTTGCCTGGCCACAAATCTCTTAGCACCTGCATGGTTCAGATTAGTGAAGCTAATCTTTAATGACCAGAAAAATTACGTAACTCATGGTTCAATTAGTGAAGCTACTTCTTACCCGATGTTCATCAAGTGTGTGATCCGATTCTGAAGACATTCTTCTATCTTTAATGCACACAGGAGACTTCATATTTGGCCTCTCAGCTTTAGATCTGACCATCGCTGGCAGAGAAGTTGATGCACTAATACCATCTTGAAAATTTTGTAAGCCGTTAACAGTATCACAGGGTTCAATCTCTTGATCACTACTTGTACTAATCTCTGTTGCTTTAGATTCTGTTACATGGGAGCCTAACATAGTTCCTTTTAATGGAAGATGTAACTTAACAAATCTATTGGCCACTTGACCATGTCCAGGTCCTCTTTTAGGATTTAAAGTATTATCAATCTTCCAACTTATGTCATACTTAGGAAAGTGAACTTCATCTGAATTCAGAGAATGGCATGTGTTGTAGTTTTCCCAGTTTATAGAGGAGTCTGAAAAATTATGAAGATGCAATTTATCTGATACTACAACTCCATCGTATGTATGTACATCTTTCGGCACCACCAGAGTATTGTCCATCTCACATCTTCCCTTTTCAGCTCCCACAAATTCAGCTGACCGGTGAACATGCAATGTTAGGCCTAATTCATTAAGCTCAGAACTGCACACATTCCTGGATTCGGGGGTTGTTCCTTCCCTCGTACCTATGCTTACCAGTTGAACCTTCCCAGATTTTGTATTTTCGACTTGCGAATAGCCCTCTTGTTTTACGCAATTTTTTCTGTTGCTTGCATCAGAAAGAGTACAGTGCTTATGGCACTGATGAGCTGAAATGCTGCTTGCCCGTTTCCAATGTGCCATCCATTGCGAATGGTACTGAATGTGAGTTACACTCCCATTTGTGTGACTCAATTCAACATTTAAATCTTCATTGTTTCCATAACTTCGTACAGCATCCTCTGCCATGTTTTATCTCAAGTACACAGAAAATAAGCCCGTAGTTGAAAAAACAATGACCAATATTCTGACGTTAGCTGTAACTTCAGTTCAATATGTCCTACAAGAAAATAGAAAAAAGTAAAGCTTTCAGAAGTGACAAGAAGTCTTAGTTTCATTTTTAGTTTAAGTAACCACATATGCACAAAAAAAAACGGAGGTCCACATGCTCAAAGTGGGATAATAATGTCAGAGAACATAACTGGAAGGCCTGTTGCCACAAGTAGACCATGGCCAACGCAAAGTAGATCTCAAGAGTCCCAAGATAAAGTTCTTTTTACTTATTTACTTTCACAAGCTTAAGGGGTGCCCTTTCTAGTCAGCTTCTCAATGCACTTCTTCTACACCATTCATGGATTATATTATACCACAAGCACATCAACTGTGGCTAAATTATGCAAGAACCAGATATGAGATGCAAGCTATCGGGCTCCATAAAGATGTCTACAGTGGTTGACAAATCATAGTTCGATAATCTAGAGGTCCCTCTGCTGGTTATTGCATTCAGTGGAAATGTGTCGGCATGTTCTATCTCCTCTAGAACAAAGTGATTGTCAGAATCCCTGTGCTTAGATCAGAAACTAAAAAACCGATAAGAAACTTCTCTCTAAAGCATCCGATTAACACTGCCTAAAAGAGGCGTCTTAAAGGCTGCAGCACTGAAACTTCTCATAAAAAGAAACTTCCTAGCAAGACAAACATTCAATTCTATTGTCAAACCACATTTAATGTTCCTCTCAGACTTTCAATCTTCTCTAAGTTTCTACTGGATAAAATGACTTCTCATAATTACTTCTAAAAACTTTAATATTTAATCTAATAATTACTTCTAAAAACTTGAATATTTAATCTAACAATGACAAATTATTAAGTTTAATTCCTAATTAAAAAACATTAATTTTTCCTCTCTTTTTTTGCATAAAAATTCTGCAGGTAAACGATATATCGGTACCTTGATTACTGAAACTTTGTCTAAACTCAACCTTCGAGTATGAAGCAGAACGAGCAGCTTTTCCCCCAACATGTACCTAAAAATACAAGGGAAAAAAGCCTAACAAAAGCCGTAAGCTCGAGCAGAGTAGTGAGCTATCATATGTTAAGAACGCCCAAAATTACAAGCTAATACGAAGGCCCTTTAGTATATCTTCCACCAAAATCAATTCCCGTCAACCTGAAACAAGAACAATCCACAAAAAGGGAGGTCAACGGCTCCAAACCAGCAAGAAAAACAAACAATGACTCGTCTAGATGTCTGTCTCCATCGCGAAAGAAAGAGTCGACGACGAAACAAGAAACGGAAATTGAACTCCATATTCACGGCCTTACCAAAACCAAATAGAAACCTTCAATTCCAGGAAGATCAACAGGAGGGAATCCAAACGAAACCGAAGGAAGCATCAAGATACGAAATAGTCATCGAACATCAAGAGAAGGACAAGAAGCCGTCGCTACCTCATCCGCTCCCATGGCGAGCTCAGAGCGCGGCACAACCAGGGAGCGAGCGGTCAGGATCCGGAACGGAGGAGGGCGAGTAGGCCATGCACAGACAACAACGATACATGTTCGTCGCTTGAAGAGCACAGAGAAGAAGGTGTTTCTTTCAAGGCTTTGGTAGGGGGGATGAATGAGGGCGGGCAGAGGCTTGAGGAGGAGGAGAAGGGTAACTACGGGGAAAGGAGAAGTGAAGGCGACGCCGCGGCACCACAGCCACGGAATCGCAAGAGGGAGCCGACCTACACCAGGCGGGTATTCCTTCCCTCTCTGTCTCTCTCTCTCTCGTGTATTTGTATTGCCGTGTGGGAAGATGAGCGACGCTTGATATTTGTAGCTGAGAGAAATCAAAATAATACAACAACAGGCAGGCCCACCCAAAAATATCTCCGCTTGCCGTCGGACGCACTTTTACTGATCCGCATCCGATAAAATTCTCATCCAATAAAATTCATGGCCTTCACTATTTGGTTTTCAAAACCTTTTATTTTAAATAAATTTATTTGATAAATTAACTTCATCAATTTATATTAAAAATATTTTAGCAAATATAAATGTAGAAGCAAATCTGATCTTTGTCATTTATTTATCTTTATAAAAAAAATAATATTAAATTTGATTTGTATATCATCTGATCCCTCCTTTATTTTGGATTAATAATCATTTTTAATGTAAATTAAATAAGAATCAGTAAATTTACCTTCTTTATCTGTGATGCTTTTCTATTTTCATAACATATAACCAATATAAACAAATCTAAGATAATTTAAATTATTATAATTAATATACAAATTACTGATCAAATGAGTGAGGATTTCTTTTATATTATCATAACCAAGATGGCTATGCCAAGCTCAGTATCTCATGAGTTAGACCACTTGCTAAGACTTATTCCATCTGCAGTAATCTTCCTAATAAATGCTATCATTATCGGTGTAATGACCATTATATGTTTGTTGATTTGAAAAACAATAGCTTTTCTTTTCGTTGCAACAAATGACATCTCATCCCATTGTTGCAATAGTCATCTTTTTCCTCTTAATTTTTGCTACCTTAAGTAAGTGATATCAAAGAATTAAAAGGATCAAAATCTCATGAAAGCCGAACATTGGTTCTTCAAAATAGCGAATCAATTCATGTATGGTATTTGATGTCACAACTACTGGGCTATCCTGACGATGACATACATGAAATTGGCATCACAATTATCCAGGAATGAACGATGTAGCTCATCCCGTGCTTTTAATGCACTCAGGTGCGGTGCATTGGAAGGCAGAGGCCACAAATCCTGCAACCAATGGCTTCTTTCGGCATGGACAACAGGCGTGGTTGATGGCGACACAAGGGAGGGACCATTCGGACATACGAAGAATGGTCGACGCTTTTGTGGAATATGAACAAATCCGGTTGCCCTACGTTTTTGATCCAAATGAACATTCCAACATGTTGTTGATGCGAACACAAAGTTCACATCAGCCAAATTGTAAGACAACTTGGGTAGGGATGTTGATGGCAACCACGCATAACATCAAACACCCTGTGAGCACGCTGCCATCGCCTTCTTAGGAGGCGTCAGCATATGGCTCAGTCCCCAAACTGTGGATGAGGACGGCTTAGAGCTCTGCATTATTGACTATCTTTGGATGACATCTATCATGATTAATCTACGATTCAAATAAACTGTGTAACAACGCACCTACTACAGCTTTTGACGGCCCATTGGTGTACGTTAGAGCTTGGAAGGCAGATTAGCCTCATTCCATCCACCACTCCAATTCGTTCTTTCCCAGTTGATGCAGGCAGGCTCTGTATATATCTGGAGGAAGAAGTTGAATTAATGGCAGAGAAACATATCGTTATATATATGTTGTCTATCGTTAGAACAAGTTTTCTAGCATGCACAAGTAGGCATTTCATATTTACATGTGCAAAAGAATGCTCAATTGAATAATTACAGAGCTGAACTTGCTACTCCTTGATCTAACATGCGTCTATTCGATATAATTTATGAAAGCTTGACAGAAGGCTTCTGCATGTTATCGCTCCTCTGAGTTAAATTTGTTCCAAGCTTCCTGCATAACAAAAACAGGTGATAAGCTTTTTGCCTGGCAAACATACCAAAATAAGAATATATAAGAAAAGCGAGCGTGATTCAAATTCATTTCATGGATCAGATGCTTCTTCTCTATGGCTAATTATTATGATTCAAAGAGGATCTGCTCATGGCCGTTAGTTTAAATTTGCACGCATTGTCACATGAGGAGTCAGTAATACTGCCAATAAAACAGAGAATAAACTAGCATATTCTTTGAAAAAATACTACAAAGTATAAATTGATAAAGGAGCTGCACGACATATGTAAGTACACACTAAAATATGAGTAGAGTCCAGTTATTCATATAACATAACAAGATTTTGTAAACATGAGTCCAGCTCATGGTATATGACCTGAATGCAGACCACAAATATCATCCATGGCCTATACAAGGTAAAAAGGGATGAAATACAAGTCAATGAGGACTCCTAACAAAACAATCTCTTATAATGGGGCTTCCGTTATGTTTTGCAACTTCTTTGACTTCCATTCATGGTTCAAGTAAACGGGGGCAATATGATCATCTACGCTAGTGTGGTTGTGCATTTTCATTTCTCTCTATCAAGAGAAAAGCTATACCAATATCCCAACATTAATAAACTAGAGAACATGTCCAATTCAAAGAGTGCTTTCATATCCTGGTTCAGAAAGACTTATTGGCAAATCTTAACTCAAGATAGCAAGTTAACAAGAATTTCAGAGGCATTTAACTCAAATGTGAACAACACCAGCCATGACTGAAGAAAACAGATAAAATCAGTTTAGGGTAGAAATAATGAAATATAAAGCAAACTTATTTCGGAAAGAACTACATTCTTAAAGATGTAGGGGGAAAAAGATGATTAAGCAAAGAGCAGTAAACTGTTTTCTTATTACCAACATCAACCGATTAAATCCCTGTTGTCAGGTCAATTTCAACAACTTATTAGCTACTCCAACCAAGTTGAACACAAGAATCTCATTTGAATGTTAATACAGTACCAACTTTATCCAATCACAACATTACATTCAAAACCAATTAGTTCAAAAAAACCAAGGTAAATTGGGAGGATCATATACCATGAGGAAACAAGTTGCAAACTCAACACCAACACATGGTTGCTCATAGTTTTTCACACCAATTTAATCTCGAGGATATAGGATAACATAGTGTGCCCATATATGTTCCAGCATACTCCCGTATCATATATACTCAATCCCTTTCACCTCTACCCAAAGTTCAGTAAAATGAAAACAAAACCTTTGATCAACATTATGAAATTATTAAAAAGTAGGAATTGCCATTAAGATAGATCAAAACCTTTTTTTCTCTTTTTTTAAGGAAAGATTTTGCACTATGGTATCGGAGAAACAAACAGATAAAGAGCTCACCTTAAGAAGATCAAAAACCTTTTCGCAAATGTACTTTTGTTGAATGCTAGCACCCCTTTGCTGCAATTTATCGGGATGAACACAGAGTGTAGCCTTCCTGTAAGCTTTCTTCACAGCAGCAGCTGTAATGACATCTGTCAAGGAAATTGGCTGCCAACCACTCTCAGGCCCAAGGATCTGCAAATTACAAAATACTAAGTGAAAAAACTGCTGCAGCACCAGCCCACCTTTGTTATGTGTAATATTGAATACCAGTTAAAAGTTCTGAAAATTTTTGGTGATACAAGAACTAGATTGGCTTGACATGCATTTAACAGAAATGATAAAGCTTTAGCAAAATACTTTGTAAATGTAAAGATTTCTGGCGTTGCACCTTGAACTTTCATGTTCTTATCAAAAGAAGTCTACATAAGCTGATTGCATATCCCCACAGAGAAAATTGACACTTGTAATATTAACGTACATCAAGAAAATATTCATCCATTAGAAAAAGACCATGAACCACTAAACTACATGTAGAACAAATATTGCTCTCATTGATCTCATGCTTGCCTCCTGATATAAAATTACTTAGAACAACACTAGAACAAATGAAGTTACAATCTCCACGTGAGAAGATGCAGAATACTTTAATTTATTTGGTTTTTTTCCATTTCAACTTCTAAAATAATTTATCCTATAGCCTTTTGTAAAAGCAACAGCCAGATTTCTTCTAGTTAACTGCAAAAATATTTATTTCATAAATTGCTGATGTACTTTAACTTATTTGTTTTTTTCTCCATTTCAAGTTAACAAATAATTTATCATACACTCTTTTGTAAAATCAATGGCTAGATTCTTAATAGCTAATTGCAAAAAGAATTATTCTACTAATGTATCATTCAACAATCAGTTTCCAATTTCCAAAGGAAAGCTGGCACTCTGTCCCTGGTGAAATTCACTTGAATTATTATAAACATTTTATTTTGGAAATTTGGATCATATGTTATGCCTTGACACTTGAGCCTGACAGATAACAAACAAGATCTTTCAATTTGCCTGTCATCTCTACTATGTAGGAACTTCAAACATTTATGGAATCTGTGTGCTTAAGTGTAGTTACACCCAACTAATTTCTCCTAAAAACTTGTTTAAGACATTTTTTCTTATACAACTAAGAATATATCCAAGGTTACAGAGCACGTAATTAATTATGTTCCATGTACATTTAGAAATTAATCCAAGATTGAAAAATTAATATACATACATATTGCAGTGTTGACAGCAGTGCACGCAGATTTCCTTGTTTTCCATTTGACCATCTCTTGACATCAGCATCCAGATACTCTGCTAATCTCTGCAATTACAGTAAGATCAAGAATTAACAAAAAAGAATTGTAATATGACCAAAATATTTTGTTTATCAAAAATCACAATGTTACATTTCTCTCAGCTTGTTCTCTTTGAGCAAAAATGTCACGCATGTTCTTTTCTGCAAGAGCTTTTGCCTAAAAGTGCAGCAATAATTAGAAAAAATATAATGGTAAACCAAAAGTCACATACAAATGCAACCTTCAGAATGCATCAAGAAAATGAAATTCAGATAAAATTCACACCACACGTTCAGCTGTCCTTTGATGTCTCTCCAGCCTAGCTTTACACCTTAGAGCTGATTCACCATTGCCTACTTTCATTCAATAACAAGTACGCAAATGCCTCAATAAGTAAAGATGATCTATTCTTTGGGTGTAAGAAAAACAATCTCAAAGACTGAAAACGTGAAAATAGGGATCAATTGATAATGAAAAAAATTCCAAAAATAATTTACTTTGGTTAA